GTTTACATTAATAATATTTTACGGACAATCGAACCGGCGATTTGTTGCATAATAGTTGAGTCAAGACGTTAATTGTGGCGTCAATCTGTACACTATACATAAAAACCAATGCCAATTTTCGATGTAATGTTTTAATCAGCATGCCTTTACTGATTTTGCTAATTTTGTCTTGATTATTTGTGGAAGTCCAGCAAAGGTTTGTACGAAGAAAAAGTTTAAAAAAATCTTGACAAATTGTAAACTCAACATCAACGCATGCGGAGCCGCTAGTTTACCTATATATAATTTTACATTTAGTAAATAAGTACATTTTTCTTTAAAAAAAATTCTATTTTCTCATAACAAGATGTATCTTATTTTACAAACCTTGCAAGCTACAAAATAATATGCATGTTTACGACCCGTAGAAAAATTGTAATCATAATCTTAAGTACCTATTGTCCTATAATTATATATTTTAATTTTATCTGTGGGTACCTGTGTTGAGGGAACTCGTTTAATTATTATTTATTTATTATAAAACGTTTCCTGATTGGTGTGGACTTTATTATTATATTTGAATGACCTTGGCTTGGACAGGCCATGAGCTGTGGTACGATATGGTTTATGATTTATTGTATTTGTGAGTATGTAAAGCATGGGAGTGCCTAAAGTCGAAGTCATAATAAATTATTCCAACTTGACACTAAACAGGTATTTTTCAACGTCAAAATAGAATAAGAGTCTGTTAGTGTGTTCGTCAATGATGCTAAGTTTGGAAGCTAGATGAAGCTAGTTCAACCAAACGCTAAGAGGGACATTTGTGTGACTTGGCGTGACATGTTGTCGGATTTTCGTGTTGTATTTTGTCTCTAACCATATTAACAACTGCTGCTCTGGGTGGAGCGAGAAAGAGAGAATGCTATTTGATGATTTCCCAAACTCAAAAAAACATAGTTAATGTTTGAAACCGATAGGCCTAAAACAATACGATACGATACGCCACGATACCGTCATATATGAAATAAGATGTTAAATTGTATGCTAGCTTACAGTTAGTGGTAGCCGTGATGCTTCAAAGTGAGAGAAAATTTTTGAGTATTTTTTAATTCTTAACCCTGTAATTCCTGTGTCTTTTGGGACAGACGAAAAATATTGGATATTTTAGTTCGCATTCCTTCGAAGAATAAAAAGTCTAATATTTTCTTTTGGCATTTATAGTGTATAACTTTAAGTTCCTGGCTCATGGATATTTGACTCGATGCCAATGCCGGCCATTTGGCAAATTGTGGTAATTTATACTGTAAGTTTAAATAATGTCTGGGTCCTTAGTTAGTTTGAAATAAGTATTTATGACTTATGTGCATACAAACTCATAGACATAAGTGTAATCTATACAGGTATGATGTGATTGTGGTCCTCATGTTGTGTTTTTTTTATTAGTTGAAGGTTTATGGTTTTATTAAAGAAAAGCAGAGGGACAATTGGGAAATAGCGACCCTTTTATCGTTAGCGAGTTGTTCACCCGTGCGAAGCATAGGCGAGCAGCTAGTATATAAGTAATAAAAATAAGTTTACCACGTAGGTAAGTAGTGTAGGTATAGGTTTTCAGGTGACAATGATTTTTTAAATTTGAACTAAGAATCGAACATTGTATTAGTATCACTCCATTATTCACACAAGAATCTACAAATGCTACCAGTGCGCCGACATATTCCTAAAAAGCGAAGCCACAAAAAAAAAATTAAATCATAAACAGTAACGCTTTGTCACGCATAACTCGTAAAAGACCGATCTTAATCTTAATTGCTATGTTTAATTGAGACCAATTGTCTGTAATATATAATGTAACCGCTTTTATGAATGATGTGATGAAGTAAGCCAGTTTATAATTGACTCAATAAGACGCAATTCATTATGTATTGTGGTTGGTAACGCATTTTGTTGCATTATTTACCTAATGGTGCATTCAGCCTTAGCACTTTTCAAGAGTTTTTTATTTGATGAAAATTATCAATTGACGTCTGATTCTTACTGACTGAAAACCATCTCGTTACTTCTGCTCCAGGCAGAGGTACTGGGCTAAGAGCATTTCAAAAGTTACAATGCCATTTTGAAAATACAATTTGCATGCTCACTTTTGATTCTACATTTAAATAAAGTTTTTTTTAAGAAATAATTCGACACACGCACCTCCTTAATGAATAACGGAAGTGAGAAGAATTAGTTGATTTTTTTTATCGATGATGTTAGTTTTATTCATCGCTATAGCTCTCCTGGATGTGAAAAGCTTTCGAAAAATTTTAAACAATGAAACAATGAATTTTTTTTTGCAAACAAGCCACGAAACGGCACTTTGATGCGTCAAATTTTATGAAAAAAACTAGATGAATTTTAAAATAGCGAATACCATATATAGGACAAATATTGATTTTTGGGACTCGTTTGATGAATCGTAGGTACCTAACGCTTGAAAAACTTTGCAACGAGCGAATAGCTTCACTAGAGGACAAACGGACAGACTGGCACGCATAAAGTTAAAGCTTTTGATATTTTTTTTTTGTTTGACGTCTAAGAGTGGCTGTTGTGGTCTACTTGAAATAAACGAATTGATTTCATTTGATTGATTTTTAAACATGCAACCGAAGAGCTAAGTCTGGATCTTCCAAAACAAACAGTTTATTGCATTACCTATCTCTTTCTATCCATAGCTACCCCAAATTTTTGTACAAGGAAAAAATATCCCCTGTAATTTTGGCTTCGTTATCTTTCATTTATTAAAGGAACCGCACAAAAGGGGAGTGTCGGGGAAATTGTCCAGCATCGCTTAATGCACGGGTTGGTTCAGAATAGGAGATTATTGTGCCAAGGTCGCGCCGGATTCAACCAATCTTCATTAGACCGACAGACAGACCCATCTGATGTTTAAAATTGGAATTAAAATAATTTATGTACTTCTTGTTGATTAAAATACCTACGGCGCCATTTTGTGGTCTTAAGTTTATTGTAACCGTGTTTATACAGTATAGTTGTTATGTAGTTATATGAAAGGTGTATTTCGGATTGATCTTTAACTGTCAGCAAAGTCTAGTATAGTGCTCAGTGTATGGTCGTGGTCGTGGTGAATGAAGTTAAGACAGCCGTTTCTCATGTATGTATATGGGTGTGTACACATTACTGACATACCGTGAAGCAAAACTTCGTGTGGAAATCTGGATTTGTAATATCTTATTTGTAAGTTTAAAATCGCCACTCCGCCCTTAGCAAGCGTAGTGAATAATGCTCAATTTTTTGCAGTGTGTGAGCAGGCCTTTTCTCAGTAGTACCTAAGCACTTTTAGGCAGATAATGTGATGCGGTGTGTATGATAATAGTATTTGACTATAACTACATATGGTTCATTAATTAAATAAGTAAAAAATGGTTGCATATCACATACCATACCACACGAGATTAAGACGCTAATTAAAATATTTAATTACCAACTCTGTTTTAAGTTACACATAATACCATATATGTCCTCGTGCCACAAGATATTAGCTTAATTATGTAGGCATTCACACGAATGCTACTAAAAATGTCATCATTTATTGAATAAAATTTTCATAATTTTAATGTTATTGCTTTGATAAAACACGTGATCAACGAAACGTGGTAAAACTTAGCTTGAGGTAGGTCAGATCTTGAGGTTGTTTGATGAAAGATATTTATTTTTTTCGGATATTACAATAGTCATGGTAGCCCGGCTGTTCGATAAGGCATAGGCTTATCGTGCGTGTGAGTGCGAAACCTGAGAGAAGCATATTTATTGTATGTAGTATAGGTACCTATATACTTTTTCTAGACTTTTAGACACCAATGAGATACGGTGAAGGAAAACATCGTAAGTACATCGTACATTATCGGATTTATAATTTCAAATTGTAAGTACAAAGTCGCCAAACCGCTGTCAAAGAAATTTAAAGGAAAAAAAAACTAATATAAAATCAATAAATAAATGTGAGCATTTTTTTCAATACCTAATTTATTTTCTTCCATAAAGAATTGAAACAATTTAAATTTGAATAAGGAACCTTATCAATTTTTAATACCTATACCAAACGGCGGGAAAAGCAAAAATAGCGACAACATATCTTTTATTCTGCTATCATCATTGTTTAAATTCACTTTGTTGAAAGAAACTTATGTGATAGATCTGAAACTAGCCCTTACAATAACTAGACTATTGAACAAAATACAAAATATTTAGAAAAATATATGTACCAACATCGGAATTCTTAGTATCGATTACAATATCGATACTAAGAGCAATGTGGAATTACATCCTGATTGTATGCATGTGGGTGTTCGTACTTATATCCTGTCCACCTGTTCGATAAACTACATATAATATACTTAATTAAAATTCCTAGCATTTAATGAATGACCTTCGCAATTTATATTATACTTAGTGACTCATTTTATATGACATAAACTAGCGCGTAGAACAAGTTTAAAATTTAAGTATCTACTTCCTTACTTGCTTATTCGTGTTTCGGCCTCCTTGGTCTCAAATTGGGTCAAGAACTTTGTCTGATGTAAAGCAATAGAACGAAGGCCTACATTGGGATGGGATACATAATTTAGCTGGTAAAACTAAAGCAACGATATTTATCTGCCTTTTTGGTTTTGAATTGAACCTGGAATTCTTCTTGCTGCATTGCAATTGAACAAGGGCCTTTAACTGCATAAGTTATAAAGACCACGAATTCGTGGCTATGTATATTATGTTCAGTTGTGTTGTTCCAGTCATTTTATTCACATAGAGTAGCTGGTAGTGGTTAGATGAAAAGAGCTGAACATCCAGCTCAGTGGCGTGGTATGGAGAGGTCTATGTCCAGCAGTGGACGGAATCAGGCTGATGGTGATGAAATAAATTTTCAAGTCGATGAATGAATGGAATAGTTTCTGCTTTGGAACCTTTTCTTTGTCAGCTAATTTTATTCTTATACCTGTTAAAACCTTTATGTACTTTGTACTTACATATCACTTGAGTTGACTTTCTCGCAGACAACTGGTAAGTCGCTCAGTGACACGTGCGTCAGGTTCAGCATGCACGACTTGTCTCCGTAGTGGAGATCATCTGCCGTCACTTTCGATGTAGTACCTGAAGAACAAAGATTTGGATATAAGGACCAGAAATAAATATCATAAATATTAAACCTACAACTCTGGATCTTTTAAACTGCCTGGCAAATTGGACTGCCTGGCAGGGGTGGAGACTACGGGAAACGTTTTTTGACTGCACGGTTGGCTAAATAACCAGGCAAATTGGCTGCTTTGCAATGTGTCCGGGTTAGATTATCGTAAGGAAAAACAACTTGAGTGTTCAATAGGTTGTTGTACCGGGCCTTAGTGTGATATGTAGGTATGTGTAGGTAATTGTTTTTTTAAACTCATCCACGACACAGAGGAAAAACTTAGTGTAGTAGTTGAAAAAATGAGTACCGGACGCCGATAGTCCTACATAGTCACTGTTTAAAAAGAACCTCCTCCTTTTTTTGGAAGTCGGTTAAAAATGTAGGTTTTGTTGTTTATTTCTTCCTTCCCACGTTACAATTTACTTAACAACGCTCATAAATAAGCAAAGAGGTTTAAATTGCGCCTTTCAAATCCAAAGATCTAAGATTTCAATGACATGAAGGATAGATTTAATATACAAACTCTATAAACTAAGGTGTATATAGGACTGCTTTATTCGATTGTTATAAAATTAAGGCTTGATTTTTCAATAGTTAGATAAAAGTTACCCGAGGAATAATTATGATGCTGTCGCGTCAGAATGTTTGTATAAGACAGTGACAGCAACAATTTTATTAATCAGATAACATTTATCTGACTATTGAAAAATCTGGTCTTGTGTCAAAAACTCATGCTAGGATTTCCTTAAAGTCTTAGGTCGGTAAACGAGAACACATTACCTGATAGTAAGCAATCGGCGCCGCCCATGGACAGGATTTGTTACAAATGTGTTGCCAATCTCTTGTTTAGGTTGATTGGGGATTTAAAAATAGGGGATCTGATGATTGAGGACGGGAGAAGAAGGATCGGGCCTCTGGTAACATCACCCATACGGCGAAACACAACGTAATACTTAAGTTTTTATGTTGGTTATGGTATGTATTAAGGCAGAGTGATTGAAGAGGAAGGTTTATGTGTATAATGACATTCATTAAATAGTGGAGAAATCTGTAAGTATAGCTACAAGGTTCTTGAGTGCTATAGTCTATAAATTAAACTCGATTTGCGGATTTTATTCGATCTATCGCTTTAAACGGGATTTTTAAACAACAAACAACAATGTTTAAAAAATGCCGGGATACATTATTTTTAATCGCTTGAAAAATGCTGGCATACATATAGACATATACGCGTGCAAAGCCGTGGACGGAAGCTAGTTTGGTATGAGCATTGCACTCGCACGAAGCCGGGGTAGCTTAGAATTAACTAAAGCAGTTATAGTTGCATAATCCTCATAAAATTGTTGCTTGTCTAACTAGTGGCGTCATGTGAACTGGGCCGTACGCCGCGCCAATGATAATGACTTTGTACGGCCTCGGCACTGACTCTGACTTACAATATTAATTGACTGATTCGAAACGTACGTTTTTGTCGGATTTCGGCCGATCATTAATTTGTTATTTATAGCGTGGCAATGTTTTGCTTAAGGATTGCTACTTATTGCGTAATGTTAAAGTAGTTGCGCATTCCGATCTGATGTTGAATATTTTCGATAGATTTGTGACGTTTTTAAGAGGAAGTGTTGTTAATTTGTCGCTTAGTAAGTACAACTCTAATCCTCTTACAAGATTTATTTAGTCTATGTTTAAAGTATTAAGTCAGGTTTTGTATTTTGAATCTTATTCTCATCTTCCTTCGATTGGAATTACAAAAACTGGCTCAATGATTTAGACAATATAATGGTTTTGTAATAAGGTCGACTACTTAATTAACTTTTTTTTAGCTTACATTGGTATTTAGACTTTACTTGCTTTTGAAACGTAAAAGCTGGTTTACTTATGTCTGACTGTCAACCCACCCCAGTTTCCAATCATAAAGTAAAAAAAAAAATTACTCCCACTTAACAGGTACTTTATAAATTTCAAAAAAGAAATATATTCCGTGAGTCTGTTCGTCAGTGTAGTTAGGTGCTTATTCCCAATTTTAGAATCGAATGGAGAAGAAAGAGCAAGAAACTTTACATACAAGTACTCTTTAAAAATACTTTACAAGCTCATTCACTTTATTATACATTATACACTAGCTACACTCGCGCGGTTTCACCCCCTGCTCAGCTCTATTTGATCGTAGCGTGATGTTTTATAGCCTGTAGCACTCAGGAAGATTGTAGCTATCCATCAGTGCAGAAATTTGGCAATCCGACCAGCAGGTTCCAAAGATGGACATACAAACTTACAAATATTACCGCTTTATAATATTAGTATAGATGTGAAAACGATGTTTTAAGTACCAATTATTAAAAAATCATAAAGGGCTGGTCTGTTTAATATGTAGCCTCTTAGTCGATTTCTACGACCCCTTACCCAAGATTATGCTGAGGAATATTTTCTACTCAACCACCATCACACAGCTTGGTACTTAAAACTTAAATGACTATTGCAGCGAGAATCTTCACCCTACATTTTCAATTCAAAGCTACAAGAAAACAAATGAAAATTTAATTCGAATTACATGTCCTATGAATAGTCTAGTATCTGACCTATTCTGACATTTAAGTTCGTGACTGACAGTCCGAAGGCTAGGTCAGTAGGACAACTACCATGCAGGTTATGTCGAAGAAGTAGTATTTATATTTATGAAAACGTAAAGGGATTGCCTCGTCCCTTATTGTAAACTAGGGAACATTTGTCGGTAAAGTAACAATGAATAGGAAAGTTATTGTACTGTGAACAATATTGAGATAAGATCATTTATTTGTAGTTGTGTGTGTGGGAGATGCTTCGGCACCATTGGGTTGGCTCGACCGGAGTGATATCACGGTCTCATAGAAACAGGCTTTTATTACACATCGTTGTGTTTCGCTGTTTGAGTGAAGTTACCAGTGGCCTAATCCTTCTCGTCCCCTAATCCCTCCGTAATCTCCAAAACCTAAAACCCCTTAACCCCAATATCCGCCAACAGCAGTTCATCTGATGTTTCCAGGGGCCGTTTGCCGCCATATCACAAAGAAAAAACTGTTTTGAAGTTGTCCTCCTTCATTCAACAACTTGATTGGCAATTATTTTCGCAATTAACACAAAAATACTATAAAGATCAATTTCAACAGTAAATTAGTATACCAAGATATTGTGTTCGCGTAATAGAATCTTTTTATGAATGAGTTTCTAGTATTCTGTAATTCTCGCGTTCTTTGATCATTGTTTTCTAGTACTTTTATTTCAATTAATTTGTACTGTGACAAGTATCAGCTGTTCATTGCACGGATGGCTACGTGACCGATGATGGCTAATGCTATTGTGTTTTGCGTCAGAAATGATTTACAACCGTAAGGAACAAGGTTTTTTATTAATTTATGGAAGGTTGTCATGATTGGGAATTATCGGAAATGTGTAATTAGTTCATTAAAAGGTCTATCTATAATTTACTATGCTGTTAACGGTTGAGATTGAAACAAATCGAATATTTTAAACAATATCTTTGTCTATCTGTCAAAAATGATGTAATGAATGAATGAGGAATTATTTGCTAAGGGCTGATTTTTCTATAGTCATATAAATGTTATCTAATTATTAGTAAAATTGTTAATAAAATTGTTGCTGTCACTGCCTTATACAAACATTCTGACGCGACAGCATCATAATTATGTATTGTTATTCCCCAGATGATACCATTGAAAAATATGCCCTAAATTTAAAAAGAGAATGCGATTTTCGAGACGACAGTTTTTTGATTTGTATTGTGAATGCGTTATTGGTTAAAGTATAGTTTTAATTTGAAAAAAGAAAACGAGCGATGTTTTTATGTTTTTATTTTTGGCGTGACGTCATTGACCTATTATTTCTTGATTTTTATAATGAGAGATCTGAAGAATGAGTTATGAAATTGAATGAAAAATACTGCTTAGTTTTATTTATATACTAATTTATATATACCTAATACCTTGAGGGCATGTACTCAATAGAAAAAATACTAACAAAACAATATCCAAATATAGAAGTTAATTCAGCTGAATCAACGAATATCAGAATGGTGTCCCAAAGGAAATAATGTATGTATTCATGCACCTCTCGCATTCGGCCCGCTTTGTTTTCCATACATAGAATATGTAAATATATATGTTTGTGGGCACACACGTACCTAGAATACTCAACGAGCATCGAGATCATTAGCCCACTGATGAACTATGGCTTCCATAGGAGGCTAGCTTTTTTTTATAGGTAATAGGTATAGGTCGGCAAACGAGCAGACGGATTAACTGATGGTAAGCAATCAGCGCCGCCCATGGACACCCGCAACGGAGGAGTTACAAGTGCGTTTGCGACCTTGTAGGGATTAGGGATTTAGAGATTTAGGGATTGAGGAGGGATTGGGGCAGGGGAAGGATTGGGCCTCCGGTAACCTCACTCACACGGCGAAACACAACGCTGTGGTTGTTTCACGCCGGTTTTCTGTGAGGCCGTGGTATCACTCTGGTCGAGCCGACCCATTCGTGCCGAAGCATGGCTCTCCCACACTTTTGTGCTAAGCTTTGATGTCTTTAAATGTTCAGGCTTATTAGATACTGGTGTAATCCGGCCCTATCAAGTGTTTAGAGTTATATATGTAACAGAACATCATGCGAAGTTTTTTTTACGCGTTTCGGCGATGTAGCGATGTCACCGCTACGCGCACGTTGCTCATGAATAACAGTCCCGTTGTGACTTGAAACTAATAGAGCTTCTCTCAATTAATTCACGTAAGTTTTTATCTATAATATAAAAATTATTCGCGAAATGTGTTGGTAAGCGCATAACTCTATAACAACTGGATTAATTCTGCTACTTAATTATTTTTTTGTTATGTTCGTTATTATAAGGAGAAGGTTCTTACGCAAGAAAAATTTAGAAAAGTAAAGAGGAATATCGAGAGTTAACAATCCTTTCGGAGCTAAGGTCGTTTGCCAAAAAACATGTGACTGACGGGGTAGTCGGATACCTACCCGTGCAAAGCAGGGGCGGTCCGCTAGTTTTGAATAAAAAACATACGAATATCGCTTCTAGTATCTACAAGCATGGTCGACGCTGCCTTTATACCTAAGTAAATGCTTGCTCGAATAACATAATATAAACAACCACAGCAATGCGTTTCGCTGTATGAGTGAGGTCACCGGAGGCCCATTTCCTTCTCTCCCCCAATCCCTAAATCTGTGAAACCCTAATCTCCAAAAGGTGGCTTTACGTACGCACTCGTAATTCTTTTGGAGTTGCGGATGCCCTTAGGCGGATGCTTACTAACAAGTAATCTATCTACAAAAAAAAAATGTGACGAAACTTGAATGGCACATATGACCGGAAAATCTCGACTTCAAGCAAGTTCATCCAACGTATAGTACGTGTGTATCCTCTGTCAGAATATATGAATGTATGTATTTATACCGAAGTTGTTTTTACCCATTCAATATGGAGATGCGATGTAGATATGTATTGGATTCTGTTTATTTGTTCCCAATACCGACAAAATCATTAAACATTTTGTTTTCTATTTGACTGAATTAGATTCTGTTTTGTCCAATGTCTTACTTTATTAACGGCTATTTTTATGAGAAATCTTGTCTGAAGTGTAATGTGGGAGAGCTATGCTTCAGCACGAATGGGTCGGCGCGACCGGAGTGGTACCACGGTCTCACAGAAAACCGGCGTGAAACAACCACAGCGTTGTGTTTCGCCGTGTGAGTGAGGTTACCGGAGGCTCAATCCTTCCTCAATACCTAAATCTCCTAAACCCTTATCCCTAAAAGGTCGGCAACGCACTCGTAACTCCTCCGTTGCGAGTTTCTATGGGCGGCGCTGATTGCTTACCACCAGGTAATCCGTCTGCTCGTTTGCCGACCTGTTTATTACAACAACTGACAATCCAGAACGGGTCGCGAGAAGTCATTTGAATATTTTACCCCTCAAAGAAATGGATATGTTTGACTTACCTATAAGATAATGTCCGAGCTCTCCTAGGATGTAGCCGATCGACACCAGACCCAGCACATACCACTTGTAGAAGCCTTGCAGCTTAGCCCATATACCTCCGTGGAACATTTTGATTTATTCTGAGGACAATAAGAAAACATTGTTATTTTTTTTGAACACATATACAATTTGTCTTTAAAACTATAATTATATAGTTTCTGTAGAACAATGAATTGTTCTAGATTTGTTCTAGACTGCACTGTAGTTAGTACTTCTATAAGTATCCACCAAGTTTTAAAGGCGGATTGGCGATTTAAAACTTATAAGTAGAATATTAAGTCCAATGGTTTTCTCACAATTTTTTTTCTTTGCATAGAGAGAGCCTTTTAAATTACAAGGCAATAGGCAATATGTATGTGTTTATTCGTTTTTATTTAACATGATGAATTAACAATTAAAAGTCGATCTTTTTCTCTTCATGACAAGGTATTGATTAGGACTAAGTCGCAGCGATATTTGACAAAATTTAAATTTAATTAAAAATATATTAACGACTTATAAAACATAATAGTATATCTGTAGTGTCACCAGAAAAATACATGTCACTAAAGTAGCTTTTCGCAATCCTATGTTTGCTTAAATCTTTAAAAAATTGCAATATTGTTTGATGCGGTTTTGTGATTGTGAGGAAGGTTCGTATGCATAATAACATCCATTAAGTAAATAGTGGAGAAATTTAGTATCAGCATTGTCCTGAGCCGGGCCGGGTCACTAGTAAAATATAAGTACAGCAAAAACGTTTAGTCACTATACTTAGTGCAAAATGGCTAGCGCTTAAAAATTCGCTTTGGTTAATGGAGGATCTTTAAATTACCTCCTAAATTGGTCCACTACAAATGTCACTCACGTCAAGCCAATTCAATAAATAATAAAACCATATAAGTAAAACAAACTATAAATACATATCAAGCCTTAAAGAACACTGTATCAGCGATATCAATAAAATTGCTCCACCGGATGATATCAATAACGTGCAAATACTAGAATGTAGACATTTTAATCGCCACCATGTGTGAACGGCCTTAAATTATAATAATTAGGCCTTATAAGGCTTAAACTGTATCACGTTCGTGACATAGTTTGATCTTATTTTGATAGAAAAATGTTGATATGGGTTGAAATGGTAATTAAAGACTTGGTACAATAATACTTCATCATAGGCATGAGCTGTAACAGACGATACGACGATATGGGTCTTTTGTGGGGATCTGATCCTATATTAGAATTGATGGTTGCCACTGGAAGAGCTTGTATTAAAGAATTCTACACTCCCTAATCTATTTCTACTAAAATTCGTTGACGAAAAGGACTATTGAATGAAATAAATGTCATTAATTAATTAATTCAAAGGTACTGCAATTAAAAAATAATTCGCGTCGAATTGAGAACCTCCTCCATTTTTGAAGTCGGTTAAAATTGGTCAGTTGGTTGGTTCGGTTTAGTGATCATGTAAGTACGATTGTAGACCAAGAGGTTCTAGGGGTATGCCAAAATAAAATACATAGCAATTCGGTTTTCATAAGAATCCATTAACAAACAGTTTGAGAAATTCAGTTAATCAATCAGAAACGAACGGCTAGTCAGTCAGGCCGTTAGTTTAATGGCTACTACAGCTTTATCTATACTAATATCATAAAGAGGTAAAATTTGTAAGTTTGTATGTAGGGGTAATCTTTGGAACCGCTGGTCGGATTTCCAAAATTCTTTCACTGATAGATAGCTAAAATGTTCCTGAGTGCTATAGGCTATAAAACATCACGCTACGATGAAATGGAACCGAGCAGTGGGTGAAACCGCGTGAGACTAGCTAGTGTACTATATTTTTTGTTTGCTTAAATGTAATAACCTATAGTAATTAGTATAAAGCTGTAGAATTTGTTTGTTTGTTTGAACGTGTTAATTTCGAAAACTTCTGGTTCCAATTAAACTTTTGTGTTTCTTTAGCCCATTTATCGAGGAAGATTATAGGTGGATACTATAGGAGCCCACCAGCGAGAGTAGCTAGTATTATGTATATGGAATTGTACTGAATCAGCTACCAGCTTTACTTACCACTTGGCCAAGGATATAATCAAACGGAAACGAGTGAATTACGTGTCGTGTGACAAGTTGAGGCCTCGTTGAGGTCGGCTAAAGTAGGTGTTTCTGTTTTTTTACCCATGTCAGCACTGACATGTTACTCGTGACTTAATTGGTTGATTATCATGTCATTGCTGGTTTATTAGGAGTGTACAGGTCGCATGGCATGATATAGTGGTCGAGTCGACTGACCCTCCGGTCTAGTAGACATTTTTTTATATTCGTCGTGGCCAATTTGAACACTGTTTGAAAATGTTCCATTGTAAAACAATATTATATATGTATCTATTCTATATCTTTATAAATAAAACTTTAGTGCCACATGTTTGTCCGCGATGAACTCCTAAACTACTAAACCGATTTTAAATTTGATTAGCATTCCGTGTGCATTTTGATCCAACTTGAAGGATAGCTTATATCTCAATTTATAGTCACAATATTATTCACCTTAGCTACAGCAACGCGTGGCTGGGTCTGCTAGTAATGTTAATAAAAATAAATTGCTCCTGGACAAATTTTGATTATTCTTTCTTTGTTGTGTTTTATATAATTATGAAAAGGTTTTTATGATAGTAAAGATGAACAATCCGCACAATTAAAGTAGGTATCTTAAAGTTGTTATCAATTATTGCGATTCTTCATTTTAAGTGTGTAGAGTAAAAATTTATCTACTGTAAAAACAGTATTAATTCGGATTTTATTGCGCATCGATTTAATTAATTAAAGTGCATAATTGTTGCAATTAACATAAATTATCTAAGTATTTGAGTTACCATTGTTAATGGCAAGTAAACTCATTATTTTTAATGGAAAATGACAATAAACAATAATGTAGTTTATAAAAAAATAAACTTAATTATTATTAAAAGTATTTTTATATCATTTTGTCTTTAATTGTTTTAGCTATAACCGATATCGATTAAGGTATAATTATTTCATAAAAATAGCAATCTAGCCATTAAAATGTTCGTCCAAACATGGGCATCAATTATAAACCAAAGATTACAATTGTTTAGACCTTTTCAAAGCTGATCTAGAATGATGGGAAAGATTGCTCTGTCATTCTTTATAAATCTTAAGAGATAAAATGAATCTTAACATCTAGGGAAGAGAGTCGGAAGTGCTATTACGTGACAATTTATCTGTTCCTTCAATGATAGATCCATCTGACAAAGGTTATTAGTAGGAATTGCTATTATATATATGTACGTAGTCTTTGAAATATTGAAGTCACAAACTGAGTAATTTCTAAGATTCTGTACCTACCTACTCCCAAAAGTTACATTACCTTATTAAAACCTTAAGACATTGTGTACTTGTCCATTGTTATTCATATGAATTTTGGAACGAGCACCTAGCTTTACTGACAGATAGTCTGACTAGCGCTTAAACTTTGACATTTCAAAAGTGCCTTTTTCTAGTATTATAGTCACTACACAGTATAAAACAAAGTCGTTTTCTCCGTCCCTATATCTACGTATGCTCAAATATTTTAAACTAGGCAACGGATTGGTACGGTTTTTTAATAGACAGAGTGATTGGAGAGGAATTTTTTTATGAATGGAATAAAATTTAGTATTAGCATTGCACTCAGGCGAAGCCAGAGCTGGTCGCCAGTTTATAATAAATGCTTTGAGTTTGAAATACTCCTTATCATCAGGTAATCATCAGGTCGAAAGGCAGAAGAGCCGGGGTTGCGGGACATGCGCAAAAAGGTACCGGCCGTGCCGTATTCCAGGCCGTGGCTGCGCGTCCTAGAGCAGGAGAAGGAACTGTGTGGGCTTTAGCCAATAAGAGTCTGACAATCCCTTTCACCTCATTCACCTTGGGCGAGAGAAGATATTTGAATAGTCCCCCCCCCCAAAAAAAAATATTCAATATATAATAAAAAATTGACTGCACGATTGGCGCGGTGGCTGGGTAACTGCCTGCCGCGCAACGTGTCGCGGGTTCGATTCCCGCACGGAGCAACTCTTTGTGTGATCCACAAATTGTTGTTCCGGGCCTGGGTGTGATCTGCATGTGAAATTGTATGTTTTTAAACGCACCCACGAAACAGGAGAATATCCTTGTGTGGGGCAACGTTTTTTTTAAAAAGAATAATTAAAAATAAACAATCACACTTCATCGATCACCATCATAGTTGCCGTCCAAGGAAAACATGACATAAATTCTCAAAATACAGTAACATAGGTTTTTTTTTTTTTTTTTTTTTTGTGAGGGTAAAATCATCAAATGACTTCTCCCGCCCAGGGCCGGGCAGGAGGGAGTGTCAGACTCTTACTGACTAAAAACCACCCTGTTCCTTCTCCTGCTCTGTGCCGAGGTCGCGGTACCTCATTGCGCTTACCCCGCAACCCCGGCGCAGTAACATAGGTACAAGTGGTGATTTTAGGTGTCCTATTGAAGTGTCAGAGAGACCTTTATTTTGGATAATGAATACGTAACAATGGCCTAGATCCCTAGATACGAACAATGATGTAATTAAGTGATTTTAATGTTGACGTCGCGTGTCACTATTGTGTTCTACCTACTAGTAAAATATTACAAGTAACGAGAACTCTTGGAATCACAAACTAATTATACTAAGATTATTCTTAAAGAAAACTTGTCTTTTAGTTTTATTTATGTTTCGATTTATGAGATAAGTAATCTCAGATTGAGGTTGCGGGGTTCGTTTGGTAAAGCTTTTGAAATTAATTTTAATGTATAATATGTTTTTATAAATAAACATCTTACTTTAGTTAAGTAGTCAATATACATAATTGGTTAGTTTCTTCCTAAGTAAAAAATAATTTATCTGGACTTTTCAATTATTGAAGCAATGGAATGACCACTTTGTTAAATAGGTATAAGTTGCAAGTTCTGTAACGTTTATAAATTATATCCAAATAGAATTATTATCTTACGAATAAACTATCTCTTTGGTGAATAAACACCAAAAAGGTTTTATATTGAATAAGCATGAAGATAATATTTGTTTATCCATACAATTGAAAGT